ATTTAAAAAAAATTGTCTCTCTTTGGCAAGTCCAATGGAAGAATGAGATGCTGAGCTTGGAATGGCAGTATTCTATGCTGTTAAATTGCACCTTTTTTTGGCATCTAATTGCACTGTTGAGTCGGAATGAATCACTGAACTAAATCAAATTGAGGGAGTTCATTGTTAGTGCATTGGGCAGATTTATCTGTTAGGTCTTTCTTGACTTGGCAGAACAAGTTCAGATTAACAGCATTGGAAGGGACCTTGTAGGTCATCTAGTCCAACCCCCCACCCAAGCAGGAAACCCCACACCATTTCTGACAAATGGCAGTCCAATCTCTTCCGGAAAGCCTCCAATGATGAAGCTCCCACAACTTCTGAAGGTAACTTATGTTCCATGGGTTGATTGTTCTCACTGTCAGAAAATTTCTCCTTATTTCCAGGTTGAATCTCTCCTTGGTTAGTTTCCATCCATTGTTCCTTCTCTGGCCTTCAGGTGCTTTGGAAAATAGTTTGACCCCATTCCTCCTCTCTGTGGCAGCCTCTCAAATATTGGAAGGTTGCTATCCTGTCTCCCCTGGTCCTTCTCTTCACTAGAAAGGGGTCTCTTCCTCTTGCTGAGAGCTCTCCCCTCCCCCAGGAAATACCTTGACGGTGCTGTCGACAGCCCCGGAGAACAAGCGGCCCCTTGAGACAGCCAGCGCTGTGACGCTGCCCTGGTGACGCAGGAGTGTTTGGGTGCAGATCATGTTGTCCATACTCCATACCTGGAGGCAGAGAACCAGCCAAGATAGTGAAGGGGGTGGATCACCATAGCTGATGGTATGTGGCCTGGATTTAGGCAGATAATGGTGTTGAGCCCTGGATCCCATTTTCTGCCTAACTCCACGCCATGCACAAACTTTGCGCCTCCACGTTTCATGTGGGGCTAGGATGTGCATCAAATACAGCTGAAGGACCTCCAAAACTCAGCCCCCCCTTTCAATTGGGGTATTTGGGCAAAAGCTGCTAACGTTCTGCAACTGCATCAGGCACTGCAGACCCATTTGGAAGGTTAAGAGTGCAATACTAGGTAGCAGTAGCCGTTCTCTATCAGAGCGCAAAGAGAAAATATCTGCTGTGAACTCTGGGTGGAGTCAGGAAGGGCATCCAACCAGTAAAGGCTCAGCTCCATTCTGTTGCCTCGACCCCTCCCCAAAGCGAGGGATTACAGGGGTGTAAAAAGAAAAAGTAAAAAAAAAGGAGGAGAGACCATGGCTTTCACTGGCCTTTCCTTCTCTCAGGGTTTGGAGTAAAGAGACCCTCGGGTTGCATTTTTGTCCCTCAGAACAGTCCTCTCATGGTGGGAATGCCCTACATGATCCCCAAAACTTCTTACAAAATTGAACTTGGGAATGTGTTGCAAGGAGGAACCACTAGAATACAGGGGGTGGGGGGTGGAGAATAATCATACTGTACATACACTTACCATACAAATAATTGAAATGAAATGAAATCCATTTTAGTTCTTTTTCTGCTTGCCTGTACAGTTTTTTTTTAAATCTGTTTGGGCCTAGCCTAACTTTTAAGAAATTGGTTCCAACAGGACAGTGGCCGGAAAGAGCTCCCTCTGTTCTCCTGCAATACCATTCATTCCGAAGGTTTTGGAGATGAGCGAGGAGACACATACACAAACTCCCTCAAGGAGCAGAGGGTGCTGTAGGTAGAGCCAGGCAGCTGAAGAGACTTTGGGCTGGGATTCAAGGACCAGGAGCCCAGCTGTCTGCTTCCTAAGAGAGTTCATCCAATTCTAATAGACTGAAAGATCTGTTAGGATGTCCCCCACTTGCCAGCGCCCCTTTTTTCCCCCTTGGTCTTCCTCTCGCCCCTCACCCTGCCCCCACGTACCCGCAATGACCGATCATACGAGGCGCTGAAGACTTTGGTTTGGTCTGGCGTAGAGATGACTGCCAGAGCGTACACAGTGCCCACATGTCCCGTGAGGGTGCGAACCTGCTCTTTCGACTCAATATCCCACACCTGGTTCAAAGGGGAGCAAAGGCCGAGTGTTACCGTCCCATCGTTTCCCCCCTTTGGATTCTGAGGGCTGAAAGGGGCTGCCCAGTGGCCCCACTGCCCCCTTCCAGGAGGCTTTGGTGATCCTTACGTGAATGAGATTTTCGTAAGTGCCACAGACGATGTGATGGTTGGTGACCGCAATGGAGTAGACGCTTCCCCCAGATGTCTGCAGGACATGGACACATTCCAGGTTCCGGATGTCCCAGATCTGGAGCAGAGGAGAGAAAAGAGATGGTGGAATCTCCTTCCCAGGCTGCCAAGAGAAGCCGCGGCAGGTGGAGGAGCCTCTGAGAGCAACACCTACCTTAATGGTTTGGTAGGAGCCACTGTACAGGTGATTCTGGGATGCCACAAGCGCCCGGACCCAGTGGTTAAGGCCTGTCAGCTCCTTCTTCAGTTTCAGCTCAGTGCCAACAATGTCCCAGACCTGATGGGCAGAAGGACAGCCAGAATCAGGCCTTCGACAGTGATGGGAGACCGTCCAATCCAGCATCCTTCCCACTCTCTCGGACCCTTCCCACTCTCTCGGCCTTCCGAAAAGCCACTAAAACCTGGTTGTTCCGGCAGGCCTGGGGCTGTTGACCCCGTGAACGAGGGCCAGCCCCACCTTGGTTGAGTGTTTGGGGTGTTGCTTTTTAATTTGCTTCCTCTTTCCCTATATTTTAACTTTTTATTTTTATTCTTGTACTTGTAAGCCTCCCGGAGTCCTACGGGATTGGGCGGCATATAAATTTATTAAATTACAAATTATTAAATTACAAATCCTGCTCAAATGCAGGACCTCCAACCACCTTCCTATGCCGGTTCCATACCAGGTGTGGGAAACTGAGGCTCAGACTCTCAAGGGTTCCCGCAGTTCTCTCAAGTGAGGGAGCCTGGAAAGATGAGCCCTGCTTGGGCAGCGGTTGGAGCCCATCTCTTTTTACACAGGTCTACATTGCTATTCCACTTTTCCATCCAGCCCTGTGAGTGAGGCTGAGTCAATCATGCGTCAAAACACTGAAGGACTTTTCTCACAGGTGCTGGAAGAGGAGAACATTTTTTTCCTTTTAACAATCTTGTAATCCCTTGCCTAGGGGTGGAGTCAGGAGCTGAACCTTTACTTGCCGGATGCCCTTCCTGACACCTGTGTGGAGTTTGCAGCAGATATTTTCTCTTTAATCCAGTGAGAGAAATATCTGTTGCTACCTAGGATCGAACTCATAACCTCCTGATTGTGGGGCGAGAGCTCTACCTCTAGGTCACCACACCACCATCAAAAGGAACTTATTAACATAATAATTGTGCTCTTTAGATGTGCAAGAATCCCACTTTCAGTGGCCATGATGCCTGGGGAATTCTGAAGGTGGATTATTAGGCTGAGATTTTCCTTTCCTCCCAGCTCAGGGGGGAAGATCTTTATCCTTGCAACGATCCTGCAATGGGTAATCCTAGACAGGTAGGAGAAGAAACCAATGACTAGGGGAAATGGGGAAGGGTTCAACAAGCAAAGAGAACGGATAATGCAGCAGGTCTGAATGCCAGATAAAAGTAGCAGGATATGGAAGGGAAAGGGAGGAGGAAAAAGCAAGGCCAGCTCTCGGGGATCAAGGAAACCCAAAATGAACTGAGAATAATCAACAGAGAGAAGGAAGCAAATCTAAGTGGACAAACCTCTTAGGCTGGGAAAAGAAAAGATCTGGGAATGGAAGGAAAGGACCAAAAAGCTTTCGGTTTTCCCCTGCTCCTCTGCAACAGAAAACGGTACCTTAATAGCCTTCAGGGAGCCACTGAAAAGCATGTTGTGCGAGGAGACAAGAGTGCACACGGGATTGTCATGTGCACGAATGGTGTTGACCTTCTGCAAGGTCTGAATATCCCAAACCTGTCAAAAGTCAAAAAGGATAAAGACTGTAAGTGGTGTAAGTGGCTTTACTCCACATAGCACAAGAGCAGGGATGTCCGAATTTGGCAAGATCAAGAATTGCGGACTTCAATTCCCAGAATTCCCCAGCACAGCTGGCTGAGGAATTTTGGGAATTGAAAAGTTGCCATGTTTGGGGACCCCTGCACAAGAGAATGATCTGTGACTTCCTTCTCTCCCCCTCCTGGAGGAAGCCAAAGCAGGTTCCTCCTCCCCTGCCCCTCCTACCAAAATCAACCACTTACAATAATGGTGCAATCAGCTGAGCCGCTATACAGTTTGTTCCTGGCCAAAAGAAACAAAAGGAAATCAGAGAGCTAGAAGACATTTGTTGGCACAATTTTTTTTCCTCAAGACGATGGAAAAAGCATGCATAGGTAAAAACTTCCCTCGGAAAAATGCAGACTGAAACTTCTGTTGTAAAACTGAGCTACTAAAGAGTTTCCATTATTCTACAAATGGCACACATCCCAAATCCCTTGAAAAACTAGAATAACAGAGTTGGAAGGGACCCTCAGGGAAAAGGGCGGCCTATAAATGTTAATAAACTCTTAAACTCTTAAACCCTTGAGGTCATCTGGTTCAACCCCATGCTCAAACAGGAGAACCTATATCTGTGATGGCGAACCTGTCAGCCTCTGCTTCGCTTACTTACTGTCAGCTGCCTTGGAAACGGGGAGGGTGGGGGCTTGGTATTTGGGATGGGAATAAATGGTACAGGAGTGAATGGAAAAGGGAGTTTACTTCTGTGCATGGTGGTGGCCAGTGTTTGGACCTGGTCAAGGCCAACCGTCCTGCATACCAACCTGATGATGTTTTTTGGAGATGCACCCCACATGACACCTAAGGGAGTTGCAGATTGGACACTGGGATGGAGTCGTTGGAGGGATGGGGCTGGGTTATCATTTGATATATATTTGTTCGCGCCTTCCTGGTTCAGATCTTGCTTTACGTTCGCTGCTATCTTTTCATAACCAGTAAAAGTATTTTAATTCCATGAACAATGGAGTTGGGAGTTTTCTTTCTTGGTTATTGAGGGAGGCACGCAGAGCCATTTCTCCGGGCACCCCATGTGTGCCGGATGTGGCACGCAGAGCCATTTCTCCGGGCACCCCAGTCGTTGCCCATTGCTCTTCCGGGTTCTGACGCACATGTGGAATAAGCTGGTCTTCGTGTGTGTGGAAGCGCCGGAAACCTTAAGAGCAGCTTCCTGGCACGCATGCCAGAAACCGGAAGACCACGTGACCTGAGCGCATGTGCACATCTGAAACTAGAAGCTCAGCTTCCCAGCGTGTGCATGAGCACCGGGGAACTGCTCTTCGGGTTTCTGGTGCTCTCGTGTGTGCACTCCACTTTTGGCACTTGGTGCCAAAAAGTTTCACCAACACTGCCCTATATCATTTCAGAAAAGTGGCCGTCAGTCTCATCTTAACCTCCAGTGATGAAGCCCCCACCGTTTCTAAAGCCAAAGCTCTCCCACTGGTTGACTGCTCTCACAATCAGGAAATTTCTCCTTAGTTCTAAGTTGATTCTCTCCTTAGTTAGTTTCTATCCATTGTTTTTTGTCCTGCCTTTTGGTGCTTTGGAAAATAGCTCGACTCCCTCTTCTTTGCAGCAGCCCCTCAAATATTGGAAGAGTTTCTCATGTCTCCTCTGGGCCTTCTTTTTGCTACACTAGTCATACTCAATTCCTGCAGCCATTCTTCATATGTTTTAGCCTACAGTCCCCTAATCCTCTTTGTTGCTCTTTATTGCACTCTTTCCAGAGTTTTATATTGTGGCAATCAAAACTGGCTGCGGTATTCCATGTGTGGGCTTTACCAAGGCATCATGAAATGGTGCAAACTGTTCAAGTCATCTTGACTCTATTGCTCTGTTAATGCAGCCTAGGATGACCTTGGCTAAACCAAAAATATGCAAAGCCACAAAAATCCACCTGCAGGAGTTCAGTTTGAATCTAACTTTCAGAAATCAGGTTTTAATTCACATTGTCATTTGGGAAACAAGACATTTCCCCCATTATTCACACAACTTCTTTTTTAATTAGAAGCAGCTTGTTGAGTTTAAGAAAACAAAGAGCAGAACATCTAGCTACCAGTCATTGATTTTATATCAGTGTGTTTTCTCCTTGGCAGCTTGCCATGGGTGGACTTCAACTCCCAGAATTCCCCAGCCAGAATTCTAGGAGTTGAAGTCCACCTATCAGCAAACTGTCAAGGAAGGGAAACTGCTTTATACAGCAGAGTAGCAGAAGGCAATGAGGCTGGCAGCTGACTCACCCCTGGATGCAGAGTGCCAGGACAATTCCATCGTGACCTTCCAGAGTCTTTTGGCACTTGTAAGTGGTACAGGTATCCCACACCTAGCGGGAAAGAAGAGGTCACATGACTGGACTCAAGGGCCACCAGATCCAGGGCAGGAAGTCAAAGCGTGTGCCAGGGCTGGGAAGCCAGGAAGCACCCGGCCTGTCTCGTGTCCACCTGCTTTCCTCTCTTTCTACCAAAGAAAGGAAACAGGTGGGCAGGTTTGAGAGCTGGACGCAAAGAAGTGCAGCTCCCAGCAGTTGTCCTGATGGCACAGAGGCCAGGAAAGGAGGCTGGAGATGTGTCTGGGAGAGCAGCTTTCCATGTTTACCCCTTTCCCTCAAATCTGGAGGGGGCTATGGCCAAATGCCCACTTCTAGGGCCTGTTGTATCCCAGCTCCCCGAACATGACAAGCCCTCTGTTGTTAAATCAATGATTCCTTTATTAGGAATGCCAGCAGCCCTGGCAAAAAGTTTCTCTCTCACCGCAGGCTAACAAGTTGGCCGGCCAGGAGATGAATAACTGTCTGCCATATCAATTTATCTCAGCCCCCTGCCTTTTATTCCCAGAGCTAGGGTAGGGCTTCACTAGCAGCAGTGGCTCTTCCATCCCAAGGACTGGCTCATAGATTTCCTCTCCTTTGCCTTGTGTGCATCAGGCACTGAACTCAGCTGTTCCTCCTCTTCCTCATTAGCCACCTCCAGACTTGGGGGCTATTGACTCTCCAACTGAGGCCTGACTGACCGCCAAGGCTCTGCCTCTGTCTCTGTCTCTCTCTGCCAGCTCCATTCCCTCTTCCCCCTCGGAGCTCTCAGGTTGCCTTGATGCCGACCCTGACTCCCAAGCCTCCTCCTCTGATTCGGCTGCTGGAGGGGCCGGCAACCGACAGGCCACAACATGGTCTTGGTGAGGAGGAGGAGAAAGCAGTGTTCAGCCTTCTCTTCCAAAGAGGGGGTGAGAAGGCCGAAAGGGACACAGCACCTTGCCTAGCATGGTTCCTTCACAAGAGAGCCCCTTTGGGGAATTTCCAAGTCATCTCTCACTGTTGTGAATACCAGTTGCCAAAATATGAGCTTTCAGCCCTAAATTACATCAAGATACAAGGTGAGAGGACAGCAGAAAAGTCCATGCATGGAGCATCCCGAAAGAGTTGATAAACAAGGGTTCCCTCATCATTCCGGTCCCCAATTATGACATACGTCACTTTAATTCTGAACAAACTACTGGTTTTAAAAGCAGCCGTTACCTAGCTAATTCTACAGCAACTGATGTTCAAATCTGAAAGGTTTTTTTTTTTAAACAAATTTTCTCTTTGTTGCTTGGCAAACAGAAGCAAGCCGCTGGGTCTGAGTAGGGCAGGCTAAGCTCTTCCACGCAGGAGTTAAAAAGGCCCTTCCTCTGACTCTTTCTCCCTTGCTCATTTGGTAAAGTCAACTGGTGGGCTAACACGAAATCCTCTTAAGGGAAGTTCTATTCCTTACAATTTTTGGCAACATAATAGAAGTGGTTTGATATTAAGAGCACTGGTGGCACAGTGGTTAGAATGCAGAATTGCAGGGTGACTCTATTGACTGCCAGGAGTTCGATCCTGACCGGCTTAAGGTTGACTCAGCCTTCCATCCTTCCGAGGTCAGTAAAACAAGGACTCAGATTGCTGGGGGCAAATAGGCTGACACTGTAAACTGTTCAGAGTGTATACTTTTCTATAAAGCAATATGAAGCATCTAAGCGCTATTGCTATATTGCTTTTTTTTCCTGGGATTCTTTTTTTCAGCTCTGTCTACCGCCTTGGATTTCTAAGTGGTCTCCTATCCAAGTGTTAGCACTACTTAGATGTTTCATGATCGGCCAGGGTGATCTAAACTGCAGCCAATCCAAACACTGAAATGCTTTTACCTGCTCTGGCCTGGATATTCCTCCCCCTTCCCCAATGATTGCCAGGACTCCATACTTGTGGGCCAAACAGAAGGTTTCTGGGAAGACCAAAGACTTTTCTTTCTCCATATGTGCTCTGGGTTGAGAATACAGATCACATGTACAACAGCAATCCAGTCAGGTGTCAGAACTGCCTCCTCACTGTCAGCCTGCAATGAATCCTGGGGACAGCCTTGAAGGCCGGGCAAAGGCTTGGGGGGAAAGTGAAAGTAAACTGTGAGAACAGCTCTCTGTTGTTTCTCTGGGATAAGAATGATGACAGGTAGAGTGACGGTTTCCAAAACTTCTCTTTTAAACTTGATTGGCCAATGAGAGATACACACAAGGGGAAGGCACTAACGGGGGAAGAGTTAACTGGGGAGAATTGACAAATGAACTTTAGTTCTGGCTTTGCAATTGACTTCTAGTACCGACTTGTACTATGTTTCCCAAAAATAAGACATTTACTTTTCTTATTTTCTTTTCACCTCAAAATAACTGCTTGGCCTTATTTTTGGGGAGGCCTTATTATTTTTGAGGTGCAGGTGGTGGCGAGCGTGGTCACTTCATGGCTGCTCCTGTGTTGCAATATTTTCGGGTAGGGCTTATTTTCAGGGTAGGGCTTATTTTAGCACATGCACTCAAAAGCCCAATTGGGATTATCCAGGGATGATTGTATGTGTGTGTGCGCGTGTATGTCTGTATGTGTGTGTGTGTGTGTGTGTGTGTGTNCCCTCCCCACAGCCTGTTTCTGGTCCCAGGAGGCTGCTGGGAAGCCCACTAGGCACAAAACGGGCATGGAGGGGGATTGTACGCGCATGTGCGGGGGAGTACACACATGTACAGGGCAGAGGTGGATTGCTGCTGGTTTTACTACTGGTTTGCTTTGCGCCACGTATGTGTGCGCAGTTCAATGTAAATTGTTCTTCGTGCATGTGCAGAACAATTTACAGTGAACTGTGCATGTGCGCACACTACTGAAAACAACATGCCGGCAGCGACAACCATGGAAGCGGTTTGGGGGCATGGTGAGCTGGGTCACTGCCAGTTCTGCCATCCAGGCCTATATGCAACTACCTGTTCAGACAAACTGGGCCGAACTGGGAGTAACCCATGTCTGATGCAGGCGTGTGAGGGGTGGTGTCGCATTGTATTATGGGTTATGGCTTTCGGAACGCAACAACAAAAAGGTTACCCATCACTGTCCTAGAGTCTCTGTTCTCTTGAGCCTCAATGTCATTTTATAAGCAAGTACAAGAATATCTAAAAGAACTGAGTTAAGATTGGATGTTCCTTACACAGATGTAAGGATCACTCAGGAAATGTTGTGCCCCATGCCCTGCGCCCCCTGTTCTCGTTTCTCCTCCCCAGGAAGCCTGGCCCTCTGCCCACCCGCTAGCAGCATCTCCACACTGGCCCCGTCAGGAGTCAGGCCCACGGGGCTCCTGCCCATAAGCTGCTCAAAGGAAACAACTCTCCAGCCTTGGGAGGGTCAGAAAACTCCTCCTGAAAAGGAAACTGTCCAAAAGGTCTAGCTAGGACGATCAGCAACAGGACATATATTTGACTTTCTTGGCTATTCTGGAGCCCCCAGTTAATTAATTAATTATTCCCCTCCCTCTTTCCATTTTGAATTAGAATTGTGTATGAACAATTTTTGGTCCCTAGGAGCTGTGTCAGATTTTCTTTCTTACAGGGGGTGGGACTAGGTGGATCTTGTAAAAAAGCAGAAGGCGGATTCTTCCAAGAAACCGCAACTCAGAGCAAAATGGGTTGTTCCAGAATTCCTCCTCTTCCTCCTTCATAGGGCTGAGACGGACTGGTTTGAGCGGCTTCATGTCTAAGGTGGGACTAGAACTCTCAGCCTCCTGGTTTCTAGCCTGATACCTTAAGCTCTGCACCAAACCGCCTCCCAAGATATTATAGAAATGTATCAGGAGAAGGAGAAAGCAACTCTGGAAAAGAGAGGGGGGGAGATTAGGTGGGTCACCTAGGCAGAGCTACCTGCTTTCTTGTAGAGACTCACCAAATTTCAGTTCCAAATTCTTCTCCAGCTGGTCTATCTTCTCGGAAAGCTTGCCCAGCATGGAGCGCAGGAAGGCGATCTCCTGGTCCTTCTGAGCCATGGCCACTTGCATCTCATGGAAGCGATCATCCGTCTGCTGGAGGAACTCCTTCAGACCCTCAAATTTGCACATTTCCAGGTGAGTCTCGTAGGTATCCTGGTTTCCTATGAATGTACACCTGGCAGAGAGGAAGCAAGTTATTCAGGATGAGAAGCTCCTCTTCAAAACTGTGATTTTACCTATTATGATCTGTGCTCACATCAGAGTGAGCTCTAATTTGTTCCACTGCGCTAGACCTGGGGTGCGACACCTGGAAAAAATGCGTCATCCTTCACTTAATCATCCAAGGAAAGATTGAAGGCAAAGGAGGCCCAGGCAGAAGAAGAACATCAGGGCTTCAAAATCTAAGGGACTGGTTTGAATAAAACTCAACAGCGCTTTTTCGTGCGACTGTTGATAAAAACAGGATCACCAACGTCTGATGACAGATATAGCACAAGAAGACCTGCACTAGAACAATTTTTCAGGCCAAGGTTTGCACCTGGCCTCTGAGCAACTCAGATCCACATTCGACAACTAGCTGATAGCAGGAAAACCCACAGACACAACATGGCCAAATAATGCCCATTTTTAAGACTGATGTTTAAAGCAAAATGGAGAGAAAAACAGAAGTCTTGCACATATTGCAATTGTACCAATGTGGCTATTGGTCTCACATCTCTCAGATATCTATTGCTCTCAGATATCTGAGAGATGCACTGTGCCATCTTCTCATATGCCCAAACTGAACTAATTCTATGAAGAGGTGCCTCTTTCTGCTACCCGTTTTTGCCTCATTAAATTACAGCCTGTATAATAGATCACAATCACTTGTTGTACCTTGAGGTTCTATTTCACTGCAAGTTTCTATTCTTAAACTTATTATTTCTCATCTGCTCTCAAAAACTGGGCTTCATTGAAATCCCAGCTCCTGCTTGTGGCAGAATATGAGAAAACATTATGGACATTTCCAATCCTGTCTGAAGACTTCAGACAAAAGGAAAGTAAGGCTTCACAAGGCATTATTCCAAGGTTCTTACTATCAGTGAAGTCCTTTCTTGTGTCCTACTGGCAAGCCAAGCTTCCCCCAGTCAATGTTTGAACCTCGTTTTTTCCCTTTTCTGATACAAGACTTCAATTTTCTCCCTCTTAAATTTCATTTTGCTTGCTGTGCATTTTTTGGATTTTCCTTTTCTTCTCTAAAAACTTAGCCATTCTTCTTAGTTTGTGTCATTTTTAAGTTTAATATCCTTTCATCCAGGTTTTTAATAAAATGTTGAACGGCCCTGCATGCAGGAAGGAATCCTGTGGTGATCCCTTACAGCATTTGGACTGAAGTATCTGCAGGTTAGTGGAAGATATTTTCTCCAGGCTGGAGAGTGAAAGGGACGTTGGGAGCACAGTTGGTGTTAATAAAAGGATTCATAGCAGTTCTCTGGCTGTGTTGCCTTCGTGCCATGCCCCAAGTCATCACAATTTCTTACCAATCCCATCTCTTTCTCCTTGGCCTTTTCTGCCCTTCCTTTTGTTTCTGACATAACCACCCCCACAGAAGAGGCCATTTTCTTGTTTTGAGTATTTCTCAACAAGCCTCAGCTTCTTCCAAGCTTCAGCATTTCTGGTAAAATCCTAGTTTCTAACAAATGTACCTTTTGTATCTTTGGGTTCTATATTCCTCTTGCAGTTGCTACACATATTTCTTTTTTCTTTTCATCTGTTAGAAACTGTGTGTCTAACCACTCTGCTTTCTAGATGTCTCCCAAGGACAAGGTGGTCACTTCCTTCCAAGGTTCTAAGTCATCTTCACTTCTGTAACCACTTCTTCTCTACAATACAATAGCAGAGATGGAAGGGACCTTGGAGGTCTTCTAGTCTAACCCCCTGCCTAGGCAGGAAACTCTATACCGTTTCAGACAAATGACTATCCAACATCTTCTTAAAGACTTCCAGTGTTGGGGCATTCACAACTTCTAGAGGCAAGCTGTTCCATTGATTAATTGTCCTAGCTATCAGAAAATTTCTCCTCAGTTCTAAGTTGCTTCTCTCTTTGATTAGTTTCCACCTATTGCTTGTTCTGCCCTCAGGTGGTTTGGAGAATAATTTGACTCCCTCTTCTTTGGGGTAGCCCCTGAGACATCGGAAGACTGCTATCATGTCTCCCCTGGTCCTTCTTTTCATAAGACTAGACATACACAGTTCCTGCAACCGTTCTTCGTATGTTTTAGCCTCCAATCCCCTAATCCTCTTTGTTGCTCTTCTCTGCATTCTTTCTAGAGTTTCCACATCTTTTTTACATTGTGGCGACCAAAACTGAATGCCTTATTCCAAGTGTGGCCTTACCAAGGCCTTATAAAGTGGTATTAGCACTTCACGTGATCTTGATTCTATCCCTGTTTATGCAGCCTAGAACTGTGTT